TCATCAGATTGGAGAACTTGTGGTAGTTGACTAATGTTAGTACTGCAGTGACTGCCACAAAAGGTTCAAAGGGGATCTATTAAATGAATTCATTAAAAAACAATTTACAGCACAATCTTAAGCACATTTATTCAGAGGCAGCTTCTGTTCTCAAGTACCACTTGGGCAAGTCCTTGATATTATACATCATTATTTTAATGGCTCAGATTCTCCTATGTATAGAAAATGCAATCAGGAACTAAAGAATGTGAGGTGATCTTCGAACACCTAAGATTTTACTACTTTTTTTTTCTTTTTACATTTTTTTTTAAAATGGGCAGTTTTCTACTGCTGTCAGTATTAACTAAAAATAGGGATCAGGGTTCCAATAAACATCCCCAATGAAATAAAACTCCAAGGCAATAAATTCCTCAAAGTTCCACTTTATTAGAGATGTCCTGTTGGCACATCTGGGAAAACCCGAATCTAAAAGCTTCCAGGTTTCCCCCCACCCAGTTGAAAGTTCACAACCCTGCTCCACACCCACAAGTTCATCACATTGTCCAATCCAGCCTTCAGGCTCAGTTGGAAACAATCCCCAGTCACTCCCATCCAGGTGCAGGCAAATGTCCTTGACTCCCAGAACAAAGAATGTTGTTATGGCTATTCTTCCACCACTCCAAAAAAAAAAAAAAAAAAAAAAAAAACCTCCTCCCAATTTCCCAGGCTAAAATATGTGGCAGTCAGGAAGCTAAAAGAAAAAAATGGCTTCCAAAACTGACAATAGGTAGATGAGGTAGATTTGGCTGATATAATCCTTTCTCATTGTCCTAATTTGGGCCAGAATTTTTGTTGCTAAGTGAAACGGTTGTTAGTGAATGCATAGTTTAGCAATGGCACATTTGGTAGTCCCAGTGCTATCGTTGGGCCACAATGTCATATTTTCCTGCCCTGCCGGACTTGCCTCTGCTTCAATTCCCCTCTCCCACCTATCTCTTATTCCAGGGGTGGATTCTACTTACCTTTACTACCAGTTCGCAACGGGATCTGCATGCACAGATCGCATCTGATGATGTCAAGGTCAGTGGGCGGAGCCTCCCGCTGGTTTTACTACCGGTTCTATAGAAAAGGTCCAAACCGGGGGCAACCCACCACTGATTTATTCCCATCTCGACTTTTGGTCACCCTGCCCTCCACCACCCTGGTGCCCTTTGCCAACTCCATACACACATTTCTATCAGCTGATCTTTGCTGTCTTTTTCTTTCTATTAATGATGAGGGGTACCCGGTCAAAAGGACAGCTGCTGTGCCTTGCTTCCTAAAGCCTTGTGAGGTCTCAGCATAACCTTGCAAGGCTTCAGGGAGGCCACACAATGGCCAGCAACAGCAACGCTTGAGAGGTAAAGATGCCTCCTCAGCAGCAGAGTGAAGAAGACAGCCTGGGTGGGTGGGTGGAAGTAGGAATAAGTGGGTTGCAGGGTGGCCTAAAGGGCATAGATGGAGGAAGAGCAGTGGTGAAATTCATTTTTTTTTACTACCAGTTCTGTGGGTGTGGCTTGTTGGGCTTGGTGGGTGTGGCAGGGGAAGGATACTGCAAAATCCCCATCCCCTTCACCACTCCTGGGGGAAGAATATTGCAAAATCCCCATTCCCACCCCACTCTGAGGCCAGCCAGAGGTGGTATTTGCCAGTTCTCCAAACTACTCAAAATTTCTGCTACCGGTTCTCCAGAACCTGTCAGAACCTGCTGAATTTCATCTCTGAGGAAGAGGGTTGGGTAAGGGAAGCTGAAGGGTACACTGCAGTTATAAATGTGGGCAACTGGAACAAGAGCCCAAATTTTTATCACATGACTGTGTGGGTGTGGTAGTTTTGAGGACTCAGCATAACTACCATTTGTTAGGCACGATCATAATTTTTAATGGTCACAGTACAAATGGTTGCTAAGTGACGACTACCTGTAGATAGATCGACCAAAAGGTAATAGAAAACAGCAGCATTTGCCTGCTACTTATTCAAGCAACTCTAAGTGGCTTAAAATATACAATTTAAAAAATGATTCATATTCAATGCAATCATTACCACAGGAAAGCATTACTATTCTAGAAACCCATGAACTTTGGAAAGATAATAGGATGAGGGCATACTTTGGGGGTGGATGCTACACCATACAGTAGGGATGTTCCCGAGAAGCTTATTCCCCTGGGCCAGCTCTTGATCTACCATGGAGGGAGTACAGGTGGTCCTTGACTTACGACCACAATTGAACCCAGAATTTATGTTGCTAAGTGGGACATGTGTTAGATGAGTTTTGCCCCATTTTACGACTTTTCTTGCCACATTTGTTAAGTGAATCATTGCAGTGGTTAAGTTAGTAAGGCGGTTGTTGAGTGAATCTGGCTTCCCCATTGACTTTGCTTGTCAGAAGGTCACAAAAGGTGATGACATGACCCAGGGACACTGCAACCGTCATAAATATAAACCAGTTGCTAAGCATCTGAATTTTGATCATGTGCCTATGGGGATGCTGCAGTGGTCATTAGCGTGAAAAATGGTCATAAGTCACTATGAACAGCCCCTAAATGGTAAGTCGAGGACTACCTGACCTCAAAGCATCCTCCTCCTTTTAAGAGTACGTAGGTGGGCAGATTCTGCCCGGAAATGATCCTGGAGGCAACAAGGATCTAAACTATATAGGGCTTATAGGGAATCACCAGCATCTTGAAGTGGTCCCAGAAGCTAATGAAGATCTATGCAGATTCTGAGAAGAGAGACAGAAAGATATTGCCCTTAACTGAGATGTTATATCCAGCATTTCTGTAGCACGTGGGAAGCCATTCTGCTAAACCTCTACTGCCTATCAGCAGCTGCATCCAGTGACAATGGTAATGATGAGACAATCTATTCGGCCCATTTCTCTGGAGCCAGGATAAATGAGGAGGGGGGGGGCAAAGCAAGACTTAGATGGCTTCTAAGTCATCTTCAAAGAGGATCCCAGATAAACCAATCTGCAATGTAATTGAGACTTGAGTCATTACCTTCAACATTACCACAGGGTTTGAGTCACCGCCTTCAACATTACCAAATCAGGAAAGGGCATAACCGATAGACCTGTTGAAGCTGGCCAAAGGCACCTTTGGGTGCCATTTCTATCTGCCATCCCACAATCTTTGCAAGTCCCAGAACAATTCCCAGATTCATTAAAAAACAAACAAACACCATCTTAATGAAGTTAATGCATTGTAAGCCATTGTAAGCTTAACACATTGTAAGCCGTCCTGGGTCTCCGGAGAAGGGCAGCATATATATATATATATATATAAAAGTGTCTTACCACTTATAAGATTCTGTATTAACCCCCAGATTATCTTTAAAGACATCTCACTACAATTCATGTAGCTCTTGATTCCCAGATCTTCCCCAACTGAGTAGGATTTGACAGTTCCATGTTAAACTGGGTTCTCATATAAGCTGCACACACCTGCACTTTAATAATAGTCTGTTTCCACAATCACATCTGCAAGACGCTCCTGGCAGTCCATGTGGCAGCCTCAAGAATTGCCACATGGACTGCACTGTCTTCAAAGCCTTAAGAATTGGGGCAGATAGCAGCCTACATATTATGTCAATTCGTATATTTGTTTCTTCCCGTCTGTCCCATCTGAATTTTCCATCCCCTCAACTACTCTGGATGACGGCTGTTTAAAGTTCTCTCTCACAGTCTTTATTTTTAATTTGACCCCAACGGGAGAGGAAAGTTCAGTCCCATAGGTTCTCCTTTCCCTAATTGCCAGTTCATTTATCTAAAGAAGGGCGAAAAGTTTCCTGAGGGAGATCCTCGAAGTCAAAAAGCCTGAAAAGGTAGAAACTTTGCCAGAGGATGGAGTGCAGTGCAGGGGCGGGGGTGGGGGGAAAGGAAGAGAGAAACTGGTCGATGGGGAAGGAAAGACAGAAAATTGAGATGGGACCAAGGTATGCAAGCAATAAAGATAAAAAGAGAGGGAGAGAGAAAGGATGGAGGGAGAGGGAGGGAGAGAAACTGGAAAGACAGAAAACTGAGAAGGGACCAAGGCATGCAAGCAATAAAAATAAAAAGAGAGGGAGGGAGGGAGAGAGAGAGGGGGGGGAACTGGCCGATGGGGTAGGAAAGACCTTTCTCAGGGTCCCTTCTCAGTTTTCTAACTGAGAAGGGACCAAGGTATGCAAGCAATAAAGATAAAAAGAGAGGGAGAGAGAAGGTTGGAGGAAGAAAGAGAGGGAGGGAAACTGAAAGACAGAAAACTGAGAAGGGACCAAGGCATGCAAGCAATAAAAATAAAAAGAGAGTGAGGGAGGAGAGAGAGAGGGGGGGGGAACTGGCCGATGGGGTAGGAAAGACCTTTCTCAGGGTCCCTTCTCAGTTTTCTAACTGAGAAGGGACCAAGGTATGCAAGCAATAAAGATAAAAAGAGAGGGAGAGAGAAGGTTGGAGGAAGAAAGAGAGGGAGGGAAACTGGAAAGACAGAAAACTGAGAAGGGACCAAGGCATGCAAGCAATAAAAATAAAAAGAGAGTGAGTGAGTGAGGGAGAGAGAGAGAGAGAGAGAGAGAGAGAGAGAGAGGAGGGAAACTGGCGGATGGGGTAGGAAAGACCCTTCTCAGGGTCCCTTCTCAGTTTTCTAACTGAGAAGGGACCAAGTATGCAAGCAATAAAAATAAAAAGAGAGTGAGGGAGAGAGAGAGAGAGAGAGAGACTAACCGACGGGGAAGGAAAGACAGAAAACTGAGACGGGACCAAGGCATGCAAGCAATAAAAATAAAAAGAGAGGGAGAGAGAGAGGGAGAATGGGAGAGAGAGAGAAACTGGCCGATGGAGAAGGAAAGACAGAAAACCGAGAAGGGACCAAGGCATGCAAGCCATAAAAAAAGGGCAGACGCTGAGATGCCAAGCAAGACGCTCTCTTCTTGCGCGGGGCTGAAAGCCGCGAACAATGCAACGAAGGGACGGCGCAAGGGCCCGGGAGGGGGCGGGGCGGAGCGGGGCGGTGGAGCTTAGCTGCAGCTGGCGACTCCGGCTCTCTCAGGCTGCTGGGCAAAAAGGCTCCGCGCCCGCAGCCCCGCAAACGCCGAGAGGCTGCCGCAGACAGGAGGTCGCCCGCGTTTCCTCGCGGCGCCTGAGGAAGCCGAGTTACAACTTGTGAGCGCCGGCAGCAGAGGCAGCGCCGCCTGCGACGTCTTCTCGAGCGGCTTCTCCCCAAAGTTGCTCCAGCCCCCCCGCGCCTTCGGAGAGAGCTGTGCTAACGCTGCCTGCGAGGCGGGAGGTCGCCGGGCGGTCGGATTGCCTTATGCTACTCTGAGGGTAAGACAACCGGGGAAGTGGTGGTGGTGGGAGGGGGGGGCGTCTTCTCTCTCCTCGATTATTTTGCCCCCGCCGAAACCGCTGCTCGCCACCCGCCCTGGCGGACGCTGCCCTCCGCGCAGGGGTCCGACTCCGACTACTTGCCTGGTTCGCTTCTTCCAGAAGGCGAGCCCTGGAGTTCTCACGTGCTCCAGAGGTCGCTGGGTTTCGGGTCAGTTTTTGTCTCTCCCCCCCCTCCCCTCCCTCCCCGGAATGCGAATAATATTAGCTTCACCCTTGAGGAGCCGAGGCTTCTCCAGTTCTTCTGAAGGAGCCCATATTGACAAACGGTTGAGCCCTATCAAGTCGTAAAACCTCCCAGGTGCTTTACTAGAGATCCGGCTCTTCGCTACTCAGCGGCTCCCCAAAGGCGCCACCCAACCCTCATCCTGTCGCTAGAGGCTTCCCTCCTCCCCTCCCCTCCCTCCCCTCCCCTCCGCCGCCCTTTACTAAGTTCCTCGTGATCTTTCCCACTATCTCCATCAAGTGCCCGAAAACCGGAGGGCTCTTCATTCTCCTCGAGAATTAAAAGTCCCTCCGAGGTCTTTTTCACCATCTCTATTTGTAAACTCGCGTTTTATGGTCGGAGCTGCCCCAGATGTGAAGTTTGGTGTTGACTCCCCCAGACACTTGATCACGACGCTCCCGTCAACTCCCTTCTTCATCCTGAAGTTTACAAATCTATCCCGAATTCCTTCTGATGTTCCTTTTTGTAAAAGGAAAAGGTAAATGACAGCCTTCCGCCTTTCTTTCTGCGTCCCGTCGGTTGGTTTTTCTTAAGAGTCAACTGAAGCTGAAATTGATAGGTTGTGGATCCATCCTCCACCCTTGGAAGGTTTGGGGCATTTGCCGTCGAGGAAATGGAGGCAAAGAGAAATGTCTTTATTGCCCCGATTTTGTGGTTTTGTTGTCCTGAAGGTTCCTCAAGTTAGTTAGAAATGCAGGGCTTCTTCCATCCTCTTTTCATCCTTCAAACTTGACGCACATGCTTTGCTTTCAGTTGTGCTTAGATTTGATAATAGAAAAGAAGTGCTTAGAAATTCTGGATTATGCAAACCAAACTTAAATATTCCTTAAATACTATAGTTTTAGGGGATATCCTCCCATTCTGCTGCAGTTCGTTTCCATATTCAATTTCCAACCCTTATTCAATAAAACCTGCATTTTAGCTTCAAAAAGTAATTTAGTAAGCTGTTGCTCTTATCTTTTTAACTTTTATAGTTTCTACTAATGGTAAGTGTGGAATTTTTTCTTTCTTTAAAGAATCACACTTTTTTTTTTTTTTTTGCAAATATTCCTATTATTTTATCTATTCTCTAGCGTGGATCTCCACATTGCTAACAAGCATTATATGCCAAATGGATATTTTAACGTTTACTAAAGTTCAAGAAATAACTAGTAATCATTCAGTGATATCTTTGTATTTCCCTCCTGCTCTGCAAAGAGCTAGCAACCAAGCCGAGTAGACAATGTGGTGGAGAACATTTGCCTATAATAATGTATTTGTGAGAAGTTGACATTTGTATTGTTTGTAGTTCTCACTCTTTCTTTCTGCATTTAACATATGTTTGTACAGTTCATACTTCCTAAAACCTTGAGTTTTGGAGTAGCCTTTCTCAGCTTGCTGTCCTCCAGACATTATTGGAGTATAATTCCTAGCACTCTAGCCAACTGCTGTTGGAGGCACCAGAAGGGGAAAGGTTGTTAAATGAGTGTACTTATCTTTGCATTTGTCAGAGTTAGTAGAACTGTAGTTCTGAACAATACTGTGATTGGTTATTTCTACAAATGAGTTTAGGAGAAAAGGCAAAGGTTACACATCTGGAAAATTCTTTATGAGATTAGCTGGTCAGTGGAACAATTTATCCTGAAATTTCCAGCTCTTCTCCTTCAGGCTGTATGGATATACCTTACTTAACAAACTGTTTTTAGGCTGGGTTGCACCAGCCTCAGGGAATTTCTCTCTCAACCAGAATGTGTGCTCAGATAGAGAGAGGTTCCCTGAGGATGGGGTCCAGCAGGGGTCCAAAAGCTCGAAAAACTAAACCTTTGGTCCAGATGACTGATCCAGATTGGATCCTGCAACATTATCCTGGAACTCTTATATTTGCCTTCTTTTGGTAGAGATATATATGGTCTAGCAATGTGGTGGCTTCTTATGTATGAAGAATTATAGGTTGTGTTTGTGTAGGTAAAATATATACTTGTCTAAAATAGTTTAAACTTGATAGGGCAACACTCTGTCATGTTTCTTACTGGTCTTTCTGGTCAGGGACCTTTGCTGATACAGAAAGAACTAAGTGGGATTAGATCTTGTTACTACTTGGATAAGAGACATCAGGAAATGCAGGATTTGTAGACTGGACTAGAAATTTGGAAAAGATATTCCATTGCATATTAGTTGGGCATAAATGATTAGAGATAGGTGGTTAACCAAGCTTTATGCCAAGAAGGGCATTATAGATGGTGACCAACACTTTGAATTGCACCTGGACATTGGCTGGCAGACAGTGCACTCATATAAGAGTGATGACACATGGGCATAAGTGTTTGTTATTACTTGCACCACTGTATTTTGGACCAGATGTAATTTCCAAATAATCTTCAAGGGTGGCGCCATAGAGTAGAATACACAAGCACAACCATGGGGCAAAACTGAGTTATGGCAAACCTTCTTGTCTTTCAGAAATGCAAAATTATTTCAAATTGTCAAGTGAATGCTGTGGTTAAAGAACAAACCATTGTTTGCTAAGGAATGGTTTTTGTTGAGTACTGTAAATGCTAAAAACATGCATTATTTTGTGCCTTACCCATTCAACCCTCTCCCCAAAGAGTAGAGAGATTGCTTAAACGAGCTCTCTCTTCCTGAATTGCCTTTCCCCAGTTGCAGAGCTCCCTAAAAATGCTAACTGCAAGTTAACAAGCTCTCTGTGAGTTAAATTAGTTGATTAGAATCCTCTGCCTCCTTGCAGCTCCTACCTGAAACTGGCAAGATCTTAACCAGTTTCATATTAAAGGACTTCTTTTACCACCTAAGCAACAGGCAGAGAGGATATTAGACAAACAGCTAGTGCTAGCATATTCCTTTCAATGTGTATTCCCCATTATGTGCCTGTTTACTCTCTTGTAATCCCTTTCTCTCCAATGAAAGCAAATGCAGACATGAATTCTCTTTTTGCTAATTATCTCAGCATTGAAGTGAACATTCCACTGGGGGAAATGTTTATAAAATTTATCCAGCTTCTTTGTGATCTGGAAGCCTTTGCTGCCATTTGAGCTCAACTGGCTGGGGTGATATCCTTCTGACACTAAAGCAAAGAAAAGTTGAAGTAGAATTGTAAGCACAGTCATGTGATATTTTACTTGGTAATTGCTTCATTTAATGACTGAGTTATTGGTTCCAATTGTGGTTGCTAAACAAGGACTACATAAGTAGATAATTAAAATACCAACAATTTCTTCCTCTATCGCTTTATGCCTGTTTTCTCCTACTATATTTTAGGAATATGGCTAAGTCTGCAGTTCATATAAAGGCTTGTGCACTTTGGGATTTGGTTATCTGAAGAAGCTTCTTTTCTGCCTGGCCAGCAGTCAAGATTGAATGGAGATGGATTATCAGATGTTCACTATGCAGCAACTTGAGATAGCTTTCTTGAGACAGATGCCCCAATAATGGATTTTTCTTTTTGTCTAGAGTTGGCACTGACTCTAGTCATGTTGGCATTAATTATAAATATACTTGTTCATCCAGACTTTTTGATTGACTATATTCTGTTCTGAGTGTGTCAGCCCTTCATATTATGATTGCTAATCTATTTATTTATTTGGTAATTTTTAAAATGATGTTTGTGTTCTGGTAGTTCAGTCTGGAATTACTTTCTTAGAGCACCCTTTCTCCAGAGATCTGCCAGGCCCCCCACTCTTCTGGAAGGCTGACTGTTCCCACAAGTGTGGAGTGGGATGAGTCTGAAGCAAAGGTACAGTGTGGATTTGTGGGAGAGTTCTGTCTTGGGTGCCATGAGTTTTTAAAAGATTTTTATTATTTATTCTGATGGTTTGCGGGTTTCTGTTATTTTTACTGTTTGTGTGCTGCCCAGGATTGTTGTTTTAATATAGGGGTATATATATATATAAGTCTTAATGAATAAATCAAAGCAACTAGCTCACTAGTTAATGTTTCGATCTACAATATCTATGAATGGATGGATGAATGCATGAATGGCTTGGCAATGGAAGGAAAGCCTCTAATGAAGAGTTGAGTCGCTTGGCGTACATCTTCTCCTATCCCCCATCTGCCAATCATTTTGCTTGGGAAAAGTGTAGACAATTTCCACAAATAATCTTCTCCAATATATTGCAGTAGAAGCAGGAACATGAGGGAGGAGGCACTTTGCATGGAGGGAACAGAACAACAGGTGGGTGCTATTCCCTGTGTAGCAGGTCCATTTGGATATATAGGAGACTTTCAAGGACTGTAAGCATCTCCTGGTTATCTTTATGTAATTTATACAATGAGCATAAAGTCCACCCCTCAAATAGATAGATAAATGAATTCACCATGTTCCTGAACATCAGATGAAGAATTTAGATCCAGTCTTGAAGTGAAACTATTCTATGTTGCTGAGACCCTTTTGAACAATATTTCATTCATATTCAATGAAAATTGAAAGAGGAGCTTTCAGAGGAGCTTGCTAGGGCATAAAAAACAATTTCAGAATTGAAAATCTTTCAGCATAGGCATAATTAAATTTATCAGCACAAGACTTCCATCTCTCACTTGTTGAATCCTGATGTTTTAACTGTCACCCTGGACTGTTTCCCCTGATGGCTATATGTATTCGGTGTCGGAACTCCTCATCCTGCGAGATTCTCCCCTCTCGCAGGTTTGGCCCCCCACATTATCAAGGGCCTATCTCGATGACGGACTTTGGAGTCCGGAGAGATGGCATGGAGCAAGGAAG